AGAGGTTTCTAAAATGCACTCGACGTCAAGGGATAACTGTGATAGGATAAGCGAAGTTTACATAACTGTAAACGAAGTGACTTCAGCACTACGTAAAATGAAAAACGGCAAAGCTCCAGGATTTGATGGAATTGCAGCAGAACGTATCAAACTTGCAGAAGATATTTTACTTAGACCTCTTGTAAACTAATTCAACGCAGTTATGGAAATAGAAAGTTACCCTCGTCAGTTTAAAAAAGGAGTGACTATAACACTTTTTAAAGGAGGTAACAAAGACAAATTGGACGTGAACAGTTATCGTGATATAACCCTTATGTCTGTTCTACAAAAACTCTTTGAAAACATACTATACGCAAGAATACAGAACTACAACAGCGAAATATGCTTTCCCCATCCCCTGCAACAGGGATTTAGACCAGGATGCGGCAGTATAATGGCAGTATTTGTCTTAACCGAAACTGTGAATCACTATCTGGAAAGAGATTCAGATATGTACGTAGCATTTCTGGACAACGAGAAGGCTTTTAACAGTGTTTGGCACACGGGTTTGTTTTATAAGCTGTTTCACGTCGGTATAAATGGAAAAGGATGGCGTCTCCTTTTTGACTCTTTTCAGAACACAACTTCTCGTATATTATACGACGGAAAAATGTCGGATGAATATGTCTTAAATCAGGGAGTTGGGCAAGGAAGAGTTCTCTCCTCTTGGTTCTTTCTACTAATGATAGACGGTCTTATCTGTGAATTAGATCATCTCAATATCGGCCCTCGAGTTTGCGATCTACACGTCCCTTGTGTTATTCTTGCTGACGACACCTCGCTGTTCTCAAGTACTCCAACCAAGATGCAAAGACAGCTGGATGTTGTATCCAACTACGCATCGAAATGGAGATTAACATATAATCCTCTCAAAAGTTGTATAATGTACTTTACAAGTAAGCGCAATCGCAGACAACCCGATGCAGAGAAAATCTTCCATCTGGGAAAAAATAATGCGTGTATAAACATCACAAATGGAAACACGTACGCCGGGATCAAAATATTCGACAAGCTCACAAGTGAAAACGCTATTTCGCAAGCATGCAACAAAGGACGAAAAATAACGAACTCCCTGATAAATATTGGAGTGCACAAACACGGTATGAACCCCCTTTTAAGTTCCAAACTATGGAATACTGTTGTTGTACCAGCCGTCTTACATGGCTGCGAAATGTGGACAACCATTTCAAAGAAGTCATCAGAGAATCTTGAAATATTACAAAGATTTGCAGCACGCAGGATTCAAGGATTCGATCGACAGTCTCCATCACCATGCACTATATACTCATTGGGACTCATAAAAATGAAAAAGATTATTCAGAAGAACCAGCTACTCCTCTGGAACCGTCTTTGTAGATCTAGCTACACATTGTTCTCTAAGCGTCTATTTATTGCAAGGTTGTGTTCTTTCTCTGATAATACACTTCAAAAGAAACGCGGATTTATAGACTGTATTTATAAGATAATGAAAAGTTACAATATAGAGTACTTCTTCAGCGAGTACCTCATCAATAGAGAAACACCGTCAAAACTTAATTGGAATCAGTACATCAGCAATCTTATAAACCTTTCTTCTTATGATGAATGGAGAATCTCACTTGGAGGCCGACCAGAACTAAATCGTTTCGCGGAAATACATCAAGAACTTACACCCCATCCACTTTGGACGCTTAGTCTCCAGCACCCAGAATTTACTTGGAAACTATTCGAACTCATAAATCTTTCAATTACGTATGAGACGGAAGAAGTAGTGTGCAAAATGTGCAAAAAAAGTACACAGGATATCGTTTTACATTTTATTTTAGACTGTCCAAATCTGTTTAAAAGCCGTGAACATCTTATGACCCTGATTGTTAACTGCCTACCAGTGAACATATATGTTGATCTCACGCACAAGTCCGAGACTATTATGGTGAATAATCTTCTGGGGTCTAGAAAAGATGGAATCATCCCAGAAGAGGAATGGACCACCTTTATATTGTCGGTTTCTACCGGCATAACAGGAATGCTGAAGGACATGAAAAATCTTTTATAGTTAAAGATAAAAACTCTTTGAAATTCCAATGTGAAAAAGTGAACTTTTTTGTCTTCACTGCACCTGTACATATATTATTAATTTATGCACTGTTGACCTTAAATGTTTTTCAATATGATAAAACCAATCTCTATACTATAGAGGAAATAAAGAATGTCTGTCTGTCTGTCTGTCTGTCTGTCTGTCTGCATGATCTTGTTTTTTGATGTTAATAAAATGGTTTACAGTCAAATTTGTGTCAATTTTTGCAATTGAAATAATTATTTCAATAGTGGTTGAGAGTGCATTTCAAAACCAAACACAGGTTGCAACCACTATTGAAATAACGTTCACTATTGAAATAATTATTTCAATAGTGGTTGAAAGTGCATTTCAAAATCAATTACAGGTTTCAACCACTAATGCAATAACGTTCACTATTGAAACAATAAAGGTTTTAAATGCATCTCAAAACCTAAACCAGGTTGCAACAACTATTGAAATAATGGTCATTATTGAAATAAAGATTACAATCGTGATTGAACTAATGATTTCAATTATTTTCAATAGTGATTGAAATAATTATTTCAAGAGTTGCTGACAATGATTTCAATATCAGAACCACATTGCAAGCCTCATTGAAATAACTTCACTATTGGAAAAAAAAAATATAAGGATAGATTCTTCATTATGTTTTAATATGTTTTCCAATATAATAAATTAATCTATTGAGTTTAAAATATGATATGTAATTTTATGTTTTAATTTCTGTCTAGAAATACTATTATTAAACGGATATCTGTGATTTAACTGATCTAGTAATTTTAAGTAATTTTGTTTCAGTGTATATAAGGTTCATCTTTGGTATTAATTGGGGAAAATAACGACCACTATTGAAAAAAGTTATTTCAATAGTAGATATTATTTCAATAGCGGTAGTATTAATGCAACCACTGTTGAAATAACGATCACTAATGAAATAATTATTTCAATAGCTGACATTATTTCAACAGCGGTTTTATACGTCTGACCACTACTGAAATAATACCCACTATTGAAATAATGCGTATACTGACTTCCCTTTACTTTTTGTTTTTTACTGTCTTAATGAGTAGACGTTGGATTATTCATATTTGTAGTGTAGGCAAGCCCATGAATATAAGGGAGAACTTAGTTTTATTCTTTATTCTTTTTATTAAAAATAACCATATTTTCATCAGACAGTTTGAAGACATAGATATCAGTCTTCTTTGTTATTTTTAATGTAGGTACTCTAATTTCTACAACTATCGGTATTTATGATCCTTTCCTTTCCAAATTAATGGCGAAGACGAACTCTATATAACAAAATTACTTAAAACTTGCATATATTGATTAAATGCCTTTTGATTCTCACCGAGTCGGCCAGATTTAGCGGAAGTTTGCTTATAACATTTGCATACTTTGTTTGAATTTAAGTACGTCAGTTAAATCAAAAATGTCCGTGTATTAATGGTAATTTCTAGAAAAGAAAGGAAAACATAAATTTACACATCATATTTTAAACTCAGTAAATTAATTTATGATGTTGGAAAACTTAATGAACAATTCATCCATATATATAAATATATTTTCAATATTGGAGAAATTTCAAGAAGGCTTGCAATGTGGTGTTGGTATTGAAATCATTATTTCAATCACTTTTGAATTCAATATTTCAATAGCGAACAGTAGTGAACATTACTTCAATAGTGGTTGCAACTTGGTTTAGGTTTTGAAATGCATTCAAAACCTCTATTGAAATCATTGTTTCAATAGTTAATGTTATTTCATTGGTTGTTGCAACCTGGGTTTGGTTTTGAAATGCACTTTCAACCACTATTGAAAAAATGATTTCAATAGTGGTCGTTATTTCAATAGTGGTTGCAACACCCCTTCCTTCCAAAATATAACACAATAACAGAATATTATACACTGCATGAAAAGTTGCGTTTAATATAATTTAATAAATTTGTTTACTTAATTAAATTTCTTGTTTTGAATTTAATTTATGTATAACGTTACATTATATATAAAATATATTTTGATATAATTTACTACATTTTTCAAATAAGTATAATCAGATTTAATGCAAAAAACATCGAGAATAATATAGTTTAATAGAAGAAATTATACGTTTCGTTTAAGAAAATCGACATGTAAAAGTAAATCCGCTTATACTTTAAGTTTAAGCATGTTTTTGGTATTTTATATATGTGATAAATAATGTGTCAATAATTTTTTTTTATTTTATACAGAATAAATATTGTTTACATATTTATTATCGCAAAAAGACAAAAACATTTACATTAAAGCATCCCATATATATCGCTTTTGTTTGGCTTTTTATTAACTCTGAAATAATTTAATATTGACAATGTATATTATTAGTACGGTAGTACTAGATCTAAATTTGTCCACAGGTACTTGTGGACAGGACCCCCCCCCCCCCCCCCCCGATATTTAACCTCGGGGCTTGTTGGACATTTTTTTCACTAATTATAATCTCTTATAATGTATATTGAGGTATTTTTGTGTGGAACGATTATTTTTGGGATTTCACGATTTTTTCCTATGGTACACATGATGAATAAGTGTATAATTTGTGAAAAAATGTCCAACAAGCCCCGGGGTTGAATATCGGGGGGGGGGGGGGGTCCTGTCCACAAGTACCTGTGGATTTGTCGAAAAAAAAAATGTATTATGAAACTGGATCAAATTGTTCTGTTTACTTTGATGCTGTTTATTCTAAAACCTACTCGATCCCGTTTGGTAGCCAAAATTGTCCAGTTTCAAAGGATCATCTCTCTCTCTCTCTCTCTCTCTCTCTCTCTCTCTCTCTCTCTCTCTCTCTCTCAGCCTTTACTTAACGCATTGTATAAAATATTAATTCAATCAGATCTTTGAACGTACAAAAATTAATTTGAGAATGACGCAAGACTTACTACCTATTCAAGTATTCTGGCGATAGACCACTGTCATCAAAAATATTGGTAGAACATACTTTAAAAACAGCTGCCCCACCCTGAAATTTTAACAATTTTATTATGAACCAAATGAATAAAGATATTTGAATTTTTTATATAACGTTTGATTCAGGAGAATATCATGAGAGAGAGAGAGAGAGAGAGAGAGAGAGAGAGAGAGAGATTTAATTCGAAAGAGATTTTACTTTATACTGAGATCGCTGCTGTATTTGCAGATATCGAATTTTATAAAAATTGGACTGTGCTACACTCTTAATAATCATAAATTGTTATTTACTATTGTATTTATCTATAAATGCTCATATATTTAAAATTCTTAAAGACGACTTAAATCTAATTTACTTAACATATCTAATTAAATATTAGGAAAAAAAATCATCAATATGTCATGATCATTTACACCTCAGGCTCAGTTTTTTTTTTAATATATATATATATATAATAGAGTTATCTGCCCTTCCAAAAAATTTAAATCAAAATCTTTTTTTTTAATTTTCTTTCCTTTTAAAGTTTGAGAAATAATAATAAAAAAAATCAAATAGGCCTATCTAATATAAAATGATTTTTCCCTCTACGCGCACGCTATACATAATTATAAATTAGCCAATCAAAATCAGGCAGCAGCTTCGCGAATATTCCGAGCCCGCCAAACAGCACCAAACACGTCGGACAGGCCAAGTATCGGAAATTAGTGAGGAGGATGGATCCTTATCACGCTCATGGAATAGTTTCGATTCACCAGAACCATCGGATTCATACATCGATGAAATTATTGGGGAAAATGCAAGACATTTGAGAAAGGGAAGAAAAAGGGCACCTCAACATGCTCAAGGTCAAGCAGGTAAACATACTGTTTAAGAAAAAAAAGATGGCGAAAAAGTCATTATTTACATGTACATCAACACTAGCTGCAAAATCTAGCTCGCTGGTCTGAAACAATTGGGATGGACGACCAGTCTCCGGTCTGTCAATATATATTTTTGCGGAGAGCTACAGTTCTGCAGCTACATCAACATTAAAAAACGTGCAACATGACCATGATGACCTTCAATATCTATAGATGACTCGTATATGTATGAACGTCACACTATGTTATATACAACGTAGCATATTGGGGCAATTTGAGACGAAAAATAAAATATTTTGAGCCGTATAACTATCACAGGAGTTCGCAATTTTATCAATAAAGTCAATAAAAATCACTCGATTGACCAAGCCATGAGCTATGCGTTAGCATACATGTAGCGAACAGGAATGCAACGCGTTTTTGGAGAAATCGACCAATTTGCTTTTACCCACCGCTTATTCAATACAGCTCGTCAGCATTCGTATCAAACAACATTTGTCTACTAAAAATTGCTTTCTAACCCTTCTCGAATGCTGTCAATACCCACTTTCTTCGATTTCGCGTAAACATTCGTTTTACCGAGAAGCCATTGCGTGACGTCACATCAAACCCGAACCCGACAAACAGTTATTCGATTGTTTTAAATAAAAAAAAAAATAAATACGTTGTCAATTATTGTACATATTGTATTTTATAAATAAATTGAATAAATCATAATATTTAACATCCCCCGATTATTTTTTTATGGCGAGAAACCATGTCGAGTTGTTCAAAAACAAAGGGCGATAATTTCAATTGCATGTGCGCGCAAATTGAAATATTGAGTAAGTAAAAAGAAATTCGTCGTGTCCAACAACTTTGCTGATACTCTTTGGTAGGTTGGTGATAATTTAAAGCAACAGGAAATAATTTAAAGTTTATTCTCTATCTTTTTTTTATTTAATAATTGTTTGTCGGGTTCGGGTTTGATGTGACGTCACGCAATGGCTTCTCGGTAAAACGAATGTTTACGCGAAATCGAAGAAAGTGGGTATTGACAGTATTCGAGAAGGGTTAGAAAGCAAATTTTAGTAGACAAATGTTGTTTGATACGAATGCTGACGAGCTGTATTGAATAAGCGGTGGGTAAAAGCAAATTGGTCGATTTCTCCAAAAACGCGTTGCATTCCTGTTCGCTATGCTAATGCATAGCTCATGGCTTGGTCAATCGAGTGATTTTTATTGACTTTATTGATAAAATTGCGAACTCCTGTGATAACTATTCAATATGGTATGTCATAATAATCCTTTGGCTAAAACCTTCATAAAAATGACTGACATGTAAAAATGAGCATAATATGTCCGACGGTGAAACCGTTAGGGCGAGCGCAGTTCATTTTCTAAAACTCAACACATCTCAAATGTCGTTTTACATTGCTTATTACACTTTTATCGCGCGTTTACTGAGTATCGTACATAATTTTTTTTGTAAACCGTTATTGATGTACATATTCTCTAACGTTGCAGACTCCCAATGCATTGGGACGAAATTCCTAACTTCTCAGATATTTCCGACAAAATTGGAAATAACCGAGTCGTTGAAGTGACAAAATTAAGACGTCACATACAAAGTCGTGTTTATCAGGGATGCAAGCGATAGTTTTGTGGGTAATTACGGCACATGGAAATTGAATTAATTCGTTATTTATTAATTTTATCAAGTAAGTTGTTGCTATGCTTATGCCACCATGTTGCTATGCACCGCAAAGGATTATTGGGAGTATGGAATATTTTCACATGGGACGATAAAAATTTCTTTGAACAATGTGCAGATTTCAACCCGAATTTCCTCCGTTCGTACACGTTGTCTATGGAGCTCGCTATGTGAGCGGCCCTTCGTGCCGCCTCGCTGCGTTCGCTATTAACGCACATGTCGGAGGAATAGCGCATGGAATAGTGCATAAGCACTCACTGATAAAGGAAAAAGTATTCGCTGATTTCACATAAAATATGATAGATACAATAGATCAAGTGTAATTGTTATTTAATATTTTTTTATTGCATTCTTGAACTTGACTGTACTAATTTCTCGGCATTTGATTTTTTGTAGTTTTTCTGCATGTAGAAAATGACATCACAATCGCATTTGTTTACTAACAGCTCACAGTTTCCCGAAAGTGAAGGAGTAAGGGGGTTTTATATAGAGATACACAAATGTACTGTATTACTCAAATAGAATTAATGTGCAAAAGTTTTATTTCATTATTTCTATAGCTGAAATTAAAAGAATGCTAGAATTCATTACCAAACAAAACATTTTTTATAGGCCGAAGAATTATACCCCGGCTAGGTCCCTTCAGAATGAGAGGTCAGTATAATACCGTTTTTGTCTGTCTGTCTGCATGCATGTTTTTATCCATAACGAATTTCCGTCACAGTTCTCAGCAACTGCTAATTGCAGATGCTTGAAATTCTAATTCCTATATACAGCAAAACTCAAATTTAACAAACATAGATACAGATAGCGATCTTTTATTCATGTCCAGCAAAGTCCTTATATAAACCTATAGAAAATCGCTGTATGTAACGAACATGGCTATATATAACAAATTTATGGCTATAACGAAGTAATTTTAAGATATTTTAATGCATTTTTTTTCATTTAAGTATAACAAATATTTTTCATTACAAATTTCATTGAATATACATAAGATTTTAAGATCATGATGAGGAGTTCGATGAAGATGCAGATGACACTACATCAGCATTGTTAACTCAGAAATTTAATGGATCCTTTAATGATATTGTTCATGTTGTCAATAAATTTGAGTTGTGGACACCCGAGTCATCAATAAATACTCCATATGTTTGTGAGTCACCATGTATGTAAATCATATATATTTGCCACAATTAAAAAAATTGTTCTGGAAATAAAATCTTTATTTCATCGGTTCTATTTTTAATTTGTTACAGATGTATCCGGTAGCATGGATATGATTATGAAGCTAAAGGATGAATATATATGGCAGGTTTCATTATTTTCTGACATTTCAAATGCATTGGTTAGATAATATTTAAATGTTCAAATCTAAATATTATACACTAAATTCTTTAATTGTGCATCTAAGGAAGTGAAAAGGTTGTATTGACAATTTTTGTAACTGAGGGTGATATCGATTATATAACATACAATAGTTTGAAGTACTGTTAGCTGACTGTTTTATAACGAATTCGGTATAGGATTTCTTATGAATTCACTATATTAAACATATAATGAATTAAGATTATAGCGAAGATCTTTCTTTGGTCCCTTGAAATTTGCTATGAAGGAGTTTTGCAGAATTGCTGTAATTGCAATATATGTATATAATTATGTTATTCCCATATACATTGTAATAATGTATACTGTATACAAGTATCGTAACTAACTCTGGAATACATTACTGGGATTCATTTTTGTTTAAATGTTATGTCAACTTCTTGTCAAATGATCATGATGATAGCACAGTTATTTTTAACTGACTTGTGATTCACATCAAAAGGGGGGGGGGGGGGGGAGGTGGGGGGTTGGTTGGTTATATCACTATTGAGCATTCATGATTGGCTCACAGATTTCTTGTTTTGTTAAAGCTACAATTATAATAAAGCAACATGTATTATGATAAAGCTAAATGATGTACTATCATTGTGTCTAGCTTCAAATGATTTCAATTAAAGGCATAATCAGAATGTTTTATTTGTAATTGATATGTTAATCTTTGAATGAATACTTTCAGACTGCTGCGCATGATGGATATCCCCATGACAATTCACAAAAGCTTGAATGGAAACTGAAATCTGATGGTGAAAACCAAACGTTGAAGTAAGAAAAAAATTAATAACATGTACTTTTAAGCTCACAAGAGCTGAAACCTTAAGCGAGTTTTCCTGATCACATTTTGTCGTCTTCCATCTGTCTTTCTATCTAACCATAAAAAAAACTAGTAACATTTTCAAGGGGAGATGATTTAAATTTAATGAAAATGTCTTTCTATCTAACCATAAAATCAAAGCACTGAAAGTACTGAGAGACGGAGGCTGTCCATTCTGGGGCGTTTAATTATGGCACCTAAGCAAGGTTGATTTTATACTTTTGATAAGAGCATCCTGTCAAACTCATTCTGTTATATAACCATATAAAAGTGCTCTGTTCCTCAATTCAGGGAAGCTTGTAACACCGTTTTTATAGTTTCTGTGTGCAAGGAATCCTACATTACATCAAATAGAATTTTAACATTTTGCAGAAATATTGACAACATACAAATTTTGACACAGACCTTGAACCAAATGGCCTTGTGCTTCATAAAGCCAGATAATGAGTGTACACCATGTTATGACCTGCATATAAAATTAACAAAGATGGACACGCAGGGTGATTCCATTTATCCTTCCCTCTGCTTTAGGGATATATCGCTAAATATTCATAATAACAAAATAACATATAAAATAATCCAAAATTTATTTGACATTTCCGACAAAATAAAACAATGTTTTTTTTTTTTTAAATACAAAAACTTGAACACAGTTTGGCACCATTAAGGATTTGAATTGTTGAGCACCATAGTAACAGATGAAAAGAATAAATGCAGGGTTTTTTTCTAATGCAATGGGAAGATGAAATGATTTCATGGAATAAACTGGAATACGTATCTAGACTAAAGAGAATATGACATTTACAAAATACAAGAGTTTCAATGCACATTTAAGTAATATAGGTGTCTGACACAATATGATACAAGCCTTGTCTGAATTCATCAAATTTAATAAACATGAAGTAAGAATGTTTTCAATTACTGTTAAGCTCTATATCTTTGGAAGGATTCTTTTTTTCAAGATTTGACTTTCCAATGGAAAAAAAAATAACATTACCTAAGCTAAGTAATGTAAGAATAATGGTCCAAATTATCAAGAAACTTATGGGAGTAAAAGTCAAATATTTACACAGGAAATATATCAGCAACTTTGAAACATTCTCCACTAAGCTAAAAGGTCACACTGGTTAAAGTCAACGTACATCTAACAGATCTTACTAGAGTTCACCTACATGGAAAAGAAATTGACAATAAAGATATTATCAAAATATGATTAAGCAAGCCAACTGGTTGCTAAATATATGTGCTAATTTAGCAAGAAAACACACAATATACAAGCATATTACAGATAACAAATGAACAATGATGCCAGCTAGAGCCTACTTTATCCAGGTAAAACCCAATTTGATAAAAACTGGAAGAATCAGCAAAACAAATTATCAATAAATGTTTAAAAATGTCTTTAACTTTTACAAATGGCAAAATACATAGCACAATTTAGTCCAAAAAGCTGATATGCAAGGTAAAGCATCTGACATCTTAAAAACAAAATAATACTGAATTTTTGTTATGCTACGTTTATGCCATGACAATGAAATATATGGGGGCAGAAATATGGCAAAGGCTTACACACATCAAATATATATATAGGAAAAAACCATACCAATAAGGAAAAATTGCATTGCATGAGTATTTCACAAAACTTTGGCAGGGAAAAAATCCCATGGCATCAAATTATTCAAACACACAAAAAAAACTATCCTAACTATAGTATACTATGATACAAAACTTGTAAAAATAATAATAAAGTACAACATATACTACAATGTCCTGTATTGGCAAGATTAAGAAATAATAATCTTTGCAGATGAACAAAACCCAAATCAATGCTACATGAAATCCTTAGAGCTATGCAAGGCAAAACAATATCAATGTGCATAAAAGTAACACTAAGCAGATCATAAGGCATTAAATCATGATATGAAAACGATTTCCATATACTGTTTTTAATATTAACACATCAAAGGTTGACAATATTGAATCGCCTTCAGTCTGACAAGGGAAAAAAGCTCTATGTACACAAGTGCAAAATATCTTGAGCATCATGCACTGTCACAGCAATTATGTATGGCAAAAAGCTGTAGCATTCAAATGCTAAGAAGAAATAATATAAAGGGAAAATAGACAATTCTCTATAAAAGTAAAAAAAAAATGAAGTACAGCTTTGCAATGAATTTTAAAATTGAAAAAATGTGTCATTCTTAATTTTATCTGTACATAAAGCATAGATCAAGGAATTATCTACATGTGTAACACAAATACAAAGGAACAATCTAAATGCAACATTTCATACCCTCAGCATTGCTGCAAGTGACAATTGCTGTTCAGAAGCCTTGAAATGATATGAAAAATTTTCATGTTTTGATCAATATCAGGTGACAAGATGTAAAAGTGAATTCCCGAGTAATCTGTAAAAATGGCACATATATTTACCACACATTTACTATTGAAAATACCAAAGTGGATCATTACAATACTTGTATGTTTCACAATTTGTAAATCTCTGATGATAAAAAAAACATGGAAATGATATTCACATGCATTTGTAAAAAGACCAAATGAATGAAAAATAGCAGTAACTTTGAAGTTTAACAAGTAGAATAGAAACCTTCTATAATCATTGGTGTTTTGACACAATAGTAGGCAAGTCATTTATACCCGCAACATAGCTTTACATTTCAAGGATGTCAAAAGAGTTTACATTTGATCCAGTCAATTTGACTTGAACCTTGAACGGCAATTTCGTGATCAAGAATTCTTCCAGATCTGCATCAGTTTCCATACTTCCTTCGTCCTCTCTTAAACTGAGCTCTAATTTCAGCAAAGCCAAATCAAATTTTACATCTTTCAAACCCTTCGTCTCGTCTCTGATACACATTTCCACGTCCTGTTCAAGTATCGCCAAAGCCTCTACTTGGCCTGTCACATCAACTTCACGGGGAGCAACAGTCTGAAAAGTATGATGGATATTTTAAGCTACAGAATTTAACTGTAATTTGCAAGGTAGTTTTAATAATTTGCTAGAAAGGAACTGAGCAATGTTAAGGACAATCCTTTACAAAACAAGCAAATTATATTCTGAGCAACAATACTACTACCTTCCATTAGTGAACATAAGAAAATACACAATTTCCAAAAATTATATATGCTTTAAACAAAAACATGAACTAAAACATTTTACCGATTATACTGGTGTTGATGCTTCAACATTGCTTCCTTTTATTCATAAAAATATATATTCAACTTGAGTTTTCCATTATTTAATACTTGTATGCTACCTTGATTAAAGAGTTCCTTGTCGTGTTCAGTGATTTCTTCTTTTGCCACTCAGACACGACACACTGACAAATTTCAACGAAGTCTTGCACTTTAAGCTGGCTTTCTGCCAAATCCCTCCAGAGTGTTACCTCCATTGTGTTTCCGTGTTCCTCTAAGGTGATGGTTCGAATTTTTGTCTCCTTTTGCCCAACTTGAACAAACTTAACTGCTTCATCCTAAAAAATAATATACACAATAGATTATAGAAATATGTTCAAATAAAAGCAAAACATGTACATGTGAGTAAATGGAAAATATGAATGCTTTCAATTTCTGCACTACTAGAGGGAACAAACTTCTAATATTTACCCGAATTATCTGGCCCTGAATAGTTACGATGTCACGCAGAGGGGAGTCCATGGCTTCCCTCAGCGTCTTGGAGGGAGATGGAGGCATGATGAGAAGTGTTGCCTTCTGAATTTGTCCATCAGGCAGTTCTAGAGCAGATGCACTCATGACTTTTGAGTGCCCTGAAAGCACTACTCTCTTTCCTTTCACCAGAAAGTTCCTGAGTTGAAGGGTTCTTCCTTCCTTTATTTTGTTAAATTGCGTCTCATCACTCAGAGTAGCCAACATTGCATCTGTTGAATCAGCAATGCTAAAGTTTAGCATGCTTCCTGGCACTCCATTGCTCCCTGTGAATTTTGCTGTGTGGCCAACTTTGGCAACTTTCACAACCAACTTCCCCAGTGGGTAGGTTACCGTCTCCTTGGTTTTGCTTTCCTCACTCAGTTCTTTCAGAGATTTTTCTTGCATCTGAATTAAGAAAATATGTTTTTATAGATAACTGGCAAGAAATTTGATACAAGATGAAGTCATTAATAATCAGTAGATTGAAAATAAACAACCACTTTAATAACATTAACCTTTGCTTTAGTTTTATATGGGATACTAATTTAATCTGAAGACTTTATGTTCTGTTATTGCACAATTACCAAATAAATATGTCTCACAATGCAACATAAAATGAAACACTACAAAAATGAAACACTACAGGAAAAAGAAAAAAAGTAAAGAAAAGCTGTCTTAGACTAACGTTCTAGGGGAAATATGGAAATTCTTAAAATAGTACCCATAATCAGTGTGTACATCTATTCTATAAGCCAATAAATATGAAATTTTCATGAAACAGTATAGGAAAAATCATTGTTTCCCATTAATTCAGAGGCAAATAAGCAATAATTGGTTTGTGGTCCGAGTAATAAGATTCTAAGGTGGCACAAGAAACATCTGAATTCGACACATATGTAGTATAAATATGATCTAAGCATGTTCCATAGTCTCTTGTATAACTATGCATAATTTGTCTCAGCTTTGTTTTTTGTATAAATGCGGAAAGTTGTTTTTGGGAAAAATAGTCAATATTTGTATCTCCCATGATCAAAATTGGAATGTCTGCCTCAAGTAACTGCATAATTGATATCAGGTATTGGCAAAAATTAGAGATGCTTGCTTTTTTCGGGGGACAGTAAATAAACACAAGGTTTAGTGCACATTCCTTGTAATCTAAAGTTACAATTACAGTTTCTATGCCACATAAAATAAAATTTCTTGGGTTTTTCAACTCAATTTGGGAATATAGCACCATTCCAGTGCATGGGCGTTCTAATTCATTTGAAACATCTGCATCAAAACGATACATGTTGAAACCAGGCAACTGAAAATCTTCATCTCTGTCTCTATACATAAGCCTAGATTCTGAGAATGCTATAATCTTTCCTAAAATCAAATTTTTGTCAGCATAGACATCTTTCATGTGAAGGTGCAAGGACCTGCAGTTTTGATATATGATTTTCATATCTGATGCAATATTTCCCAATATTGGTAAGCATGTCCTCAACACAGCATTGTCTCTCAACCGCTGCATTTCACTGATAATGTTGCCAGATACTGCTATCTTCTGATCATTCAAAGACAGTATGAACAAGTTCTGTATCTTGCGCACTCTACTTAAGGCAACATAATGCATATGTTCTTCTTTTCTAGTCCCTAAATCTACTACTACATCATTCAGAGTTGACCCTTGAGCTTTGTGGATGGTCTTGGCACAGGCCAACCTTAATGGAAACTGCCTTCTTGTAACGTAACAGGACTTATGACGCCCTACAGTAAATTTTGGTGAAATTTCAACAATAGGTGTCCAAGATTTGCAAATATCTTTGGTATACAAATGGGCATATTTCATTCTAGTGGCAGACCCAATGCTTGGTTCATCAAACAAAGTCCACACAATACTACATCTTTTGAAACCAGGAACTCTGAAATCCAATTTCTTTACAACACATGGGCTACCATTAGTTAGTCCATCCCGTACATTTACATTTGTGCATATTTCTGCTGGCAAATCTTTCACAAGATGAAGTTCCTTATGCAATCCCATTGTTTTTGAGGGGTTTTCGGATACCTGTGCAAGAATTTTGTTTTTCATATCTGTGGTTACATCGCCACCTACTGTGTCTATTGCTGAAACAGTGCATTTGTTTTCAATAGCAGCACTATTATATGCTTTCATGTTGTGACAATTTACCTTAGCATTTGTTGTAAATAAATGTGGAACAAGATTGACATTCTGCAATGCATTCAAGCAAGACGTGCGTGTTTTTAATTGCTCTATGTCCTGTTCTGTCTGCAATCCCTCCCGTAATCTGTTCAGTAGTTCTGCAAAGTCTTTGTCTTCTTTTTGTCGCATAATTTCTTTTAGTTCAAACACCTGAAATAATTCACTCCAAAGATTCATCGCAAGTGGCCCATATCCATCATTAAGATTTTCAAACACCCACCCATCAAATACCGGCTTTAGCTGAAAAAGGTCACCAATTGCTGTGATACTTAACCCTCCAAAAGGAATATTTCTTGCAAAGATTTCTTGGAGTCGTAAATTAATGAAATTGAACATTTTATTGCCAACCATTGATATTTCATCAATAAAAATTATTTTCAGGCTGCGAAACTTTACTCTTATTGTATCTAGCTGTTGTGCATCAAGAGGTTTATAACACAGGTTTTGATTTGCAGGGATACAGAACAAGGAATGAATGGTTTGTCCTCCTATGTTATATGCAGCTTTACCTGTTGGAGCACACAGACCAGTTTTTATTTCATCAAGATTTTCTCCTGGCTGTTTTGCATAGTATCGTGTGATGGCTTGATATAGGCATGTTGTCAACAAACTTTTACCAGCACCTGCACCTCCTGTCAAAAAGTTATAGAATGGAAAATTTCCCATTTTCACCTTATGAAGTACATGGTAGAAGAATAATTTTTGATCCTCATTTAAAGACCGTACTTTATTCTTATATTCAGTGTCAGTCATTTGATGCAATACTACATCATTTGTCTCAATTTGCTTCCTTGTGATTCCCAAATCTGTGCCTATATCATATTCTGCTCCCATAAATTGTGGATTGAAACATCCGTGTGTTTCGCATACTTCAACATCCTGTTGTAAGTCAAGTTCCTCTTGATGTTGAATTTCTGCTGAAACAACATGATTACCATCAACTGACATATGATGCATATCATTTTCTATAACATCTGTTATTCCTTTATCAGCCTCATACTGTTTTTTGTTCTTTTTTATGGTCTCTTGATTGTGAAAGAAACACAACTCATAATTGGCAAAGTTCCCCATTAAGTCATGGTCTTCATTTCTCCATGGTAAAAACAGCATCAGTTGTTCTCTGAAGTAATTTTCTGGGTCCTGTTCCCTGTTAAATCTCACATATCTTATGATCTTCTGTGTTTTTCGCTGCCTCAGTATTGAACCATCTTTCATTTGATACTCTTTTTCGTAGTTATTTTCAGCAGTATCTGTTTCTTGAAAAATGTCATCTTCATTTATTTTCATCCTCTGGCAATAGGTGTAAGTCAATGTGTTGTTGCCCTTTATCTTTTGCAGGAAAAATTACATCAAACTTTGAGATGAAGTCTGCTAAGCAGCAATTTTGTAGTGACTTTTGTCTTCTTTGATAACGTTTAATTGAGTTGTCCGACTCAATATCAGTGGAATTATCTGGTAGTTCCTGCAAGGATTCCATTGGTTTAAGTAAAAATGTTCTTTGTTTTGGTTCATTAGTATTGACAAATACAACACTTCTGCTACTATTACGCAGAGGCATTTGCAATATTAGATATGTTGCCTCCTGTGCACATATTTCCACATGTGTGAGAAATTTGTTTCCAATCTTCCTTACTTGCTGTTTTAAGGACATGTTTCCATTCCTTGCTTCTTCACAAGCTTCATGTAGCAAATTGGACATTCCTCTCTGTGATTTTGAAATATACGAGACTATGTATGCTGCACAAGCATATCCATCAAGCACAAATTGAACATCAATGTTAGCTTCCCAAGCTCTTAATAAAACTTCATTGTATGAATTAATTCTTATCTCTGACACATTACGCTGCAGGAATACTTTTGCTGATTTCAACCTTGACCTGATAACCATTTCGTAGGATTCAAATGTCATTCCTAGTTCCTTTAGGAAATTTTCAAATGTGATTTCTTCCCCTAGTTTGATTTCATTTAAATATTCGAAAATCTTAAGATAATCCTGCTGTACTTGAGTATTTTCTTCGAATTCCTTGTCATAAAGGGGTTCCAAAATCTTTGTTTGTGGCATTGGTGGCAAAGGAAAGTTAAATCGGCAGACATTTTCCCCCCTCTTTTTACATGTATGAACATGTCTATGTGTTTGATAATTGATCAGTTCTGGTATTTCATCATTCTTTGAACAGGTGCAATGCTTGTCGATAAAAGCCTCTATGTCTGTTTTTGTCATTTCTCCATAAATAGGGGCATTTTCAATCCACAAGAGCATGTGGATATGTGGAGAACCTCTTTGCTGGAATTCTACACGGAAAAAGAAATCAACAATTTTCCCAAGCGGATTCAAACTGCTTTTCAAGATTCTTTGCATGAATATCTGGAACCTGTGATGGAAATACCCTGAGCAAGTCACTGGATCTTTCTTTATAAGCTCACATTTATCTGTCCAAGAGAGCTCAGAGATTTGTTCATCAGATAATTCTGTTTTGTTCAGTAGTGTACTCAGAATTTTTAGCAGACTAGTCCATCTTGTTTCTGCAGCTGAAAATGAACAAAACCATGTTGGTATTCCCAATTGTCTTATCATGGCAAAAACATCCTTTTTAGCACTTTCCCAGTATGCAGGGGATCCTTTCAATGTCCGTAGAACCCTATAACCTTCATTTAATCGTACAATATTGTCAAGAGCAGCAGGGTTAAAAACTTGCTTAGCTGTTATCTTCTTGCCATCTTTTTGGCACTTTCTCATGGCAAGAATTACTTTGTCTTGAATTTGTTTTACCTGTATCTTTTTTAATTTGAAAAACAAATTTGGCATTGAGCAAGCTACTCTCCTGTCTTTTGATCTCAACTCCCACTTACATGTGGTACTGTATGTGACTGGAACTAACCTGTCTTTGTTAGATGGACGATCCTGACCACAAAATATTGTAGGAAAAGCTAGATATTCAGCATGTGGATCCTGATATAAACCTAGGGGGATTTGATTTTCACCAGGCGCAAAGGAAAAATTTCTGCAGAGAGACCTTACATCAGTAGGATACATCAGTGTATCTGTATTACCAGTTAATCTAGTGTGAAAGTTTGGATCCTCTGTCCAGTTGTCTGTGCATTCTTCCTCTACACTCATGACTATTTATTCAGAACTGTCCTCTGTCTGTTCCCTGTTTAAATCATACCACTCTTTCTGTTCTTCTGTGATATTCCAACTGGCATTGATTGTTATCCCTTCACTCCTAAACAGCTTGCTGTTCTCAATTAGCCACTGTAGGGCATCAAGGCATTTGTTTGGTCTCACAGGCTCATGTAATACATGATGTTTGAATGCATTTTTGCGCTTCAATTTAACCTGAATGGTCTCAGTTTCTGCAAACATTCTTGGTAAACATTTCACTGTCTCACTAACATCAGACGGAACATTAACGACATTTCCACGCAAACTTTTTTGGCCACCTCGCGGTTTTTCCATTATTTGCATGAAAGGGATTCGTGAACTTATCAGGCGCTCTTCCATTTCTGTTATATCTAACTGGGGTGGTCTTTCTGGAAAACCAAAACCATTCTGAACTGAGCAAGCTGGAACTTTCCCCCGTTTCAAATGCCGATAGCATGTCAAACAAACCCACTCAGTTTTTTCAGCACTTTTTATGTTCAGTAAATATGCCCTAGCAAACACTGAGGAGTGCAAAGATTCAGTTTTAAAGACGCTTTCCCTAAACCATGTCTGAGTGCAGCAGGAACAAATATATGACGGACCATTTGCAACAAAATTTTTAAAGTTAGCAATAGCAGAATGAACTTGTTTATTCAATTTGTTTCCCTTATCACTTTCTGATTTATTTTCTATTGCCTTGTTTATTCTGTTAGAGTCTGATTTGTTTTCTAATAATTGTAGGTCTGAAATACATGAAACACCCTTTTCATTAATATCCTCCTTCATTTCACAACAAATTTTTTTGGCTGTTGAATGTTTACTTTCAAGGCTTTCATGAACTCTCTTTCCTAAAGTAACATCTTCCACCAACTGCGATGCAATGCCAGTGGTATTCAAAAGAAAACTCCTCCTATCTTCATTAATATTTACAATTGGTTTATGAGGCCTGGAACACAATTCTCTTAATGTTATTGCACAACTTTCATATTGAACTTTATGAAGTTCAGTTGCTGATAAAGATTGGCAAAGATTTCTCAAAAACTGGCATAAAGCTGGAAAGCAAGTTAACATTGAAACAACACATTTTCCTTCAGGATCACAAAGGCCATTTTTACCCCTATTGTGGGAATCAAAAACATAATAATATCCTCCATGATGCTTAATAGCAACTGCAGATGAATGGAAAATGAGTATTGCATTTTCAGTTGCTGCTAAAGTCCTGTTCAAAGAAGTTTCAAGTGACACACCAATCCCTGAACTGCTACTAATACCCATACAACCCACAAAGGTTTTTTTCACATATGATGAAAAATATTTCTTTCTAAATTTGACATGATTTGGTAATTCTGATATCAGCAAAAACTCATCTGACTTACGAAGGGAAGTGTATAAAATATCACCAGCTTCCAAAATTGCATGCAAGTCATGTCTTGACAAAGAAGGTGCATCTTTTACAAATTGTGTGAATAGTAAAAACATAAAGCATTTGCTCATACATTGCTTGCCTCTTGATGTTGATGGAAAATGGGATCCACCTTGAGAATAATCTGCACATAGGATCTTTGATGGCAAAGCAAGACTTGGATGATGCTCCATATTGTATATAATCTTTAGATTTGAGCTGCTAATTCTTCTGATGAGAATGTCATGTCACTGAACGTTCTATATTGATCATTTATTTAATATGTACATTGTTGACTCTGATATCTTGTTAACACTCACTGTTACTAGTAACAAAATTCTTTATAACTGATGTTTTAATTACATCATAAGCTAAAATGTTCCAAAAAACAAAAGCTTCTCTCAACACACCTTTTTACATACATAAAGATGTAGAAACAGATCATAAATGCCTTAAATGGTTACAAAGTATAAGGAATAAAAAGTCATAGACTTTTGCATTGGTCCTCTTGTGCCTTTGAAGTAAGATTTTAAAAAAGCAACAAATTATCAACAATTTGAATTGTTAATCATTTTAGTGCATTACAGGCAATTTTTGTGGAAATTCAAACATGACGGGCAATTTTTGTGAAATTTCAAACACTGTGTGGTTGCAATATTCCTTAAATTTCAAATCCAAAGTGTATTAAATTAGGATGTACTAAAAGTTAATTCAGTTTTTAACCAATATTTTACTCTTTGTTGTGATGAAGTGTTCAATTCTTATTTGAACAACTTTGAGCAAAGGATTTAGTGGCTTAAATTTCAGAATTATGAATTCAACTAAATTCAGTAGCAGTTAATTTCAAATTTGTGAATTCTACTTACTGATAATGGTTGCATGATTATTGACAAGTTTATATTATCTTAGTCTTGAAGATGTGTCCTGAGAAAATGTGACTCACAATATTCACAATTATTATGTTAGCTTCGCCATGGTTGGAGGTTCATAGGTTGAGCATTCCCTTATGTTTTGTATGTTCCAATTAGTATCTCAATTCACACTTCTGTACACTTTTCTTATTTTTTTCTCTATTTCAATTCAACAATTTTTATCCTCATCTCAACCTTTTCTCATGCTTCATCTCAGTAGTCAAGCAATATTCTCTCAAAATTTTCTCAAGCTTAATTTTTCACAGTATTAACTAAAATAAGTGAGAAATATTTCTAAACAAGTGACATCTAAGACATGATAAGCAGATGTTGTGAGAAAACTGACAAACTTCTGAAAAGAAATGATTAGATCTAAACAGTGTCAAATCGTAAGTATCCACGTGCTCAGATTAAAGGATTTAACGTTACAGCTGGTGAATAAACTGGTCTACACCAACATAAATAGTTTACATTGACAGAGAGAGCCAAGACTGCGGTGAATATTTAATAATACAATGATTAAGTATTCTTTACCTTTGTCTTTTGAGAACACACTACACTGGATAACGTGGAAAACTGTGTTTGTTGACGTTTCTTTGCTTGAATGCCTCTGGATTCTTCCTGCAAATTTTCCTGAATGACGCTACGCACTATTTTTGTTCATTCATCCGCATTGTTATGAAACAATATCTATCTCTTTTTATTAGTCCATGTTCCACTATTTAGCATAAAAAATATACATACACAATATTTATGTAACGTTTTACCATATACTTTCATTATTGATGCAATTAATAACATAAACAATTTGAACTATTTCTTTAACTGACTACCCTGCATGTAAACCCCAAACCTCATCATTATTCATTATTCTCATACATATTCATCATTCGGCAAACCCTACCCTATATCTATATGGAATAGGCCAAGGTGATCCGAGTGACATATTTATAGAACAATCGTAACTACTCAGCCATTTCAACGGTGACGGAAAAGGGCGAGTATAGAATATAAAATTCTTATTCTGAGCACAGTAGATGACGAAATAACCGAAATTAATTTTTTTTAAAATGTTGCATATTTATATAATTATTTATCAAACTCTATTCCTGAAAAAGTATGATAGACATAATTTCGCCGCTAGGTGGTGTCTGCCAAATCTTTCCGGTTCATTATCGACGTCATATGCAGGCTGACCGATAGTAATAGAGGAGGCTGATAGCCTCCGTCTAAAAACTAGTAACATTTTCAAGGGGAGATGATTCAAATTCAATGAAAATGTATTGGCAATTTAAAAGAAAATCTTGAACCATTTATCCAGAAAAATTGAAACTTATGTTGAAGCATCCTCAATTAAAGTAGCTTTTAGTTTGTTCAAATCATCGTACCTTATTGTTTTCCATGATATGTGATTAAATATCTGTACATGTGTGTCAGACATAGTTGAACAGGATATCAGATGACCAAACTCTACTTGGCACCTTAAATATTGTGTATTGATATGAATACATATCATATGAAAATTGTACTATGACATGCTGATCACCCAAAAGTAGGGTGGGGCTACACTAAATCATATATTCTTGTTCCTTGCAATTGTCAGATCTTAAAAACACTTGATACACCACACAACTTGTGTGGCATTTCAAGTGTTATAAAGATCTAGACATATGACCCCATGAGGTGCTCCTGAACCCCCCCCCCCCCTTTTTTTTGTTTTGTTTTGGTCAAAGTTATGGCCATAATTGCTCAGGTGAGTGATGTGGCCTTTGGATCCTTTGTTGGTTTGAAGTATTTATTAAATTTTTACTGAAAGACAAGAGAAAATAAACAATCTACCAACAATTAAGCTATGATAGAGGTAGCCATCTAGTGGATAAGAAATGTTGATACAGAACATGCATATACCATTACTTGGTAATTTATTTTTGGATCACATTCAATTTCAAATGCTGGAATGATTATGTTAAAGGTAAAAGTATTAGCTTATGGATTATGTAGAATATTTTCTGTGGAATAAAATTTATAGTACTGTTCTTTAAATGGAATTCAGGTAATTTGATATGATGATATCATGTGTTGCAGACCTTCATCAGATGGAAACAAAGAAATGACTGAACATATATGCCAGTACGTCGTAGGCATCTATCTAGCTTGCTGAGCATTTGTTTGAGGTCAGTATAAAGCATATCTTTAATCTAGAATAAAAAATGTAAAGTTTATGTAATAATATTTAAATGTATGTTAAACATACTTTATTATTATATAGTCTATTTAAAGTCCTTACATAATCTATACAAGCGCAAACAGTTCATAACACTACATAATCACTGGATTTGAGGCCTTATTTACCGGAGGGTCAGTGCGCATGCAGCGGCATTGTGACATCACAATTAACACCTCAAACAACATTGTAAACAATGGTTGCAACGGCCGCAGCCAGCTGTGTATCTGAGCAGGAAAAATGTTATACATTAAACCTATCACAGGGTTATATGGACATATTCCACATAGCGTAACTTGGAAAGGAAAACACGGAAGTTACAAATTGTAATCTGAACATTTTTTTTTCTATTTTCAATGATGGAAGTTCTTAAATGAAAATGGTGTCGTCATGCAGCCTTCAATATCTTATTTATTCAAATCTGGACTATATAACAAAACAATAATTATGGACTCTTATGGTGTTGAATATACATGTAGTTTTTTTATCACCAGAAAATATCAATATTGACCTCGGCTTCGTCTCGGTCAATATTGATATTTTTCTGTTGAGTGGTGAATAACAAACCACATTCAACACCAAAAGAGTCCATAATTGTATAATATTTAATACATCTGGTGAATGATGGTATCATTTATATAAAAATACTTTAATTTAATCATGTATTTTTTTTATTTGATTTGCAAGTCAAAAATTCAAACATTGCTCATATGATGATAGTGGAAGAAAAGAATTGTTAACTTCTGAAAGAGATCAACCAAGTGCAAAATTCAAAAAGACTTGGACACAGAGCTCAAAATTTTTTATAATTATATTTTTTCATTGTTAATGTCTAGAATTAAATAAATGCAAATGTTAATTTGCTCACAGTCAATAAAGGGTATATGTTACTCTAGCTGTGGGTTTACTTTACAACCTTGGATATTTGATATATGTGTGATTGTAATCTCAAGTTTTGAAAAAGAATCTTAATATTCATTTATTAAATAATGTATCTTACTAAAGATTTCAGACATTCTTAACTTTTGCTAATTTTTGCTGCAATGTCATATTTTAGGTGCAATACACATATACTTTCAATCCATACAAGACAAAGAAACGCCGCTTGGATAAGCCGATTCCATTAAAGCAAAGAATGGTGATGTACCAAAGAAAGTGGCGTTCTGATGAATGTTAAAAAGTATTCGAAGAACTAGACACCAAAAGTGCCACTCACAAATCAAAGCTGTCTAAAAGGCAGAGCATCAGAAGAATTAGGATAAATAAGGAATCCAAAAGAGACAAACCTGATGATGTAGCGATTGAACAGAAATTGGCTATTAGAGATCAAATATCTGAGTTGCTACTGTTTTGCATAATTGTGTTGCTTTTTTTTTACTTAACTTGAATTGACACATTCAAATGTTATATAAGAAAAATATACCTTGTGTTGTATTTTTGACAGTTAAAGTGTTTTCTGATGCTTGATTACAGATTAAAACTCGGTCATGTTTTTTATTGTTTGAAGATCGATTCGCTTATTTTGTATAGTACACATGCACATACATTTTTAATCTTGATTTATAAATTACATTTATGTACAAGTTTGACTTAAATAATTAGTGTATGGACAATTATTGTGAAAAGAAGTAGGAGACAATGCAAGGGTAGTCTGAAAGAGCTTTGCTTGCAGGAAGTTGCAGATCTTGATACCCAAGTAAGAGAAAGGTGGTGTCTAAGACCGATCCTTTTGCTGTTGCTTGTGGGCGAGTGAGGCTTCTCTGTCAGTGGCTTAGTTTGTCTTAGATGTAAAAAATAGACTAAACAGACCAGATAAAGAGATTTCTGAGTAAATAGGGTAAATAGTGATTTTAATGTATATTATATTGCAAGAGTAAGAAATTAATTTGTTTCCTTTCATTTGAAGTAAAGAGTTTAAGACCAGAATTTTTTGCATTAAGTTTAAAGAGTAAGGCTAAAAAATTTTGTAACATGTACTTGTACATATGTTTATACAGGCCTTTTTATATGTACGTTTCGGAGCTTATTCTTGACATTTTACGGCAAAGACTAGAAGATTATTTACTGAAAATATCATTATCAAAATGTCTTACGTTCCAATGTAAAATTGATTTAATGAGGATATGCTATGTTTCAATCCACAAGTGATAAACCTGATAATGTAGCGATTGAACAGAAATGGGCTATTAGAGATAAATTATCAGCTGTTACTTGTTTTGTGTAATTGTGATGCTTTTTCCTTAATTTGAATTCACATAACCATGATATAAAAGAAGTTTTCTTGATGGTGTATTTTTCACAGTCAACATAAAATGTTTACTGTACTCAGTTAATGATTAAAAAGCTGTCGTATTTTTTATTGTTTGCAGATCAACTGGCTTATTGTGTAGCACACATGCCAAACATTCTTAATCTCCGACTTATTTCCATGATTTTACAAGTTTAACTTGAATAATTAGTGCATGGATATTTATTGTGACAATAATTAGGAGACGATGCAAGGGTAGTCTGAAAGAGTTTTGCTGGCAGTAAGTTGCAGATCTTGATACCCAAGTAAGAGAGAGGTGGCGTCTCTGACCGATCCTTTTGCTGTTGCTTGTGGGCGAGTGAGGCTTCTCTGTCAGGACTAGACTAAGAAGACATTTATGCATGAAATATATTGTAATAAGAAGAAAAGGCAACTTAACTATTAATAAAAATAAAGAGTTAAAGAATGTTTATCATGTGTACATGAATATACTAATGCATGATATTTTTTGTACATGAATATTCCAGATATATTGTTTCTGAACATATATTAGGCATAGACTAGCTAGAAGAAAATGCTTTGAGTGTAAAGGTCAATTTTATGTCTCAATTTCAAATTAGCCTAAAATTGTTTTAATGAGATATATGTAGTTTCACAGTATCCATATTCCTGTCTACCTGCTTGTGCTTATTGAGATTCTTAAAATTGAAACGACAAAAGATGTTTAATGTTATAAGTGTACCATTCCCCTAGATCTTGATATACATGTAGAATCATTGGCTCTCTGTCTTGCAATGTTTGTGCTAATTTATATAAATGAATGCCCTTGTATTCCAGTATGTTCACTAATTTGTGTGGTCATAATGTACTTTCTCTTCTGTCCAAAACTTTTTAAGGATGGAAAATAGGAAATTATCATGGAAAAAGATCTTAAAATCTTTTGTGAATGATTTCAAAATTATCACTTTCAACAATATTTTTCAAATTGCATGCTAAAAAGTATAATGACTCTGTGCTTTAAGTTATCCACATTCATTTTTTGAGAAATTTGCCTATAGCACATGTAGAATTTTTTCAAAAAGGCCTTGTATTTCATGCTGTATATGAAAGACACATAATGA